ACCATTGAAGTGATCCATCTCGAGGCCAGCGCCGTGCGGAGTCTATTGGGCGCGCTGACAAGGCCAGAAGTCTCACATTTCATGGGTGATCTCAAACAAAATGTGGACACCTTACAGGTTCATCTTGACCATGTCCTTGCACTTAAAAAGGCTCCGCCGCAGCGGAAGGACTCCGCAAGTGACCACATAGTCCTCTACAAAGCGCGCATGACCATGGCTGGAACCAAGATTCATGCGACAGCGCCAGCGCTCAACGGAAACCATTACTCGGCGGATCTGGACATTAGACTTGGGATGGTGCGCCTACGCCTGGACAACGGCTTGGAGGCCGGACACCCGATGGAATATTCTGAGTTCCACGTCGACTCTTCGAATCTAAGCTTGGATCTGAAGAAGCAAGATGTATCAAGAAGCCGATCCTACTGCAGCTTTGTTGTTGATGCCAAACTTCAAGGAACATCTATGCAGCGAAACAATGGCGAGATGAGGCGGGTGTTGCACTTGAGCAGCACGAAATTCAAGGTCGATCTATTCCCTGAAAGCGCTGCGCTGCTCGTTGACTTAGCTGCCCACCTCCAAGAGCGCATAAAGACCTTGGACCTCTCCCATGAAGTCAAACGATTCAAGAAGCTACGGCGTCGGGGGCATGCAGAACCGGACCGAAAGTCCTTGGAAGTTCCTCGGATACAGGTAGATGATGCCGGTTCGTCCGATGAACTCTTCAATGCGATTTATTCCTTGGACTTTCATAATATTCAGCTTGGGTGGAACATGATGACAATTTCTTCTGCAATACCAGAAAACAAGTTGGCTGATCTGGTGTTCTCTATCAAACGGGTTGAGCTGTCAAATAAGAAGACAAATGCTGCCAAGCTTCGAATTGAAGACATGCAGTTACAGATGGTACCAGTCCATGGTAACCGGAAAAAGCGTTCACTCAACTCGGCTCTATTGCCGGAACTGGTCTTCAACGTTGCATACGCTTCCGTGGGTAAGGAAGTCCGATTAGCCTTCCAGGCTGCTGGAAAGTCATTGGATCTGCGAGCTACCTCGGAGTTCATACTTCCTGCCAGCATGATACGTGATTCGATTGCCTCGGCTGTCCGGACCATAAGGGAGGCCAATAACATCCTGGTATCGAAACCATCTGGAGATAGCGTGAAACTACGCCCGATCTTTGGAAACAAACGATTCCGCTCTGTGCTGATTGACGTTGACTTTGCTGGAGCCACTGTATCCCTTCAAGGGAGGCATACAGAGGATCAACAGACAATGCTGACTGCAAGTCTTAAAGGAAACCAGCTTCCTCAATCAGGGTATGGTCAATATGTTCAGGGAGATGGCGTGGCCACGGCGACTTTCAAGGCCCCAGGAGTGGCATTGAAAGTGCTATTCGAGGATAATGGCCGTGAGAACCCGGCTCTTAACGCGGAATTGAAAGTCGATGCGTCCACGAATGTGCTTTATCCCAGCCTCGTTCCTTTGATCAAACAGGTAACAACGACTGTAAAAGAGGTCATGGGAGATCACCCAAGGGCCAGACGACCTTCAAATGCGGTGATGCTACAATCGCAGAAGCTGATGTCAGAAACCCCACTTGCAAATACAGATCCGGGATCCATTCTTGGCCGTTGCAAGTTGAATGTCGGAATTTTGATTTGCAGGCAAGAGTTCAGCTTGAGCTGCCAACCCATAGCTCGTGTCGCAGCCACCACGCAATTCGACAGTGTCTATGTCACGATCAATACAGTGCAATCTGACGAGCAGGAGCGGTTTCTAGCTCTCCTGGTGGCTTTCAATTCCCTACAAGCATCGGTGAAGCATGTATACTCCAACGAATCGACTGCGAGCTTTGAAGTGAAGTCTATGGTCATGTCCATCATGAATAGCAAGCACTTGGGAAGTTCAAAGGGCATTTCAGCTGCTCTTCGAGTCAGTCCCATGAATGTCGCACTCAATGCAAAGCAGGTGCAGGATCTTCTGCTATTCCGCGAGATTTGGTTCCCGTCCAACGATGAGATAAGCCCCAAGCCTGCCTTCCAGTCGCAATCGCAGGACACGCAAGCCTATATCGTCCAGAGGTACCAACAGGTTGCAGCAACCCCTGCCTTCCCTTGGAATACCACGATCGCAATTGAGAAGCTGGAAATACAACTTGACTTGGGATCTACGCTGGGCAAGGCGCAATTTGCAATCAACGACCTCTGGCTGTCGACCAAGAAGACGTCCGATTGGGAGCAAATCCTTTGCGTCAGCTTCCACACAGTAGGCATTGAGAGCAAAGGCCGGATGAGTGGGCTGGTTGAACTACAGACCTTCAAGATTCAGACCTCGATCAACTGGCCCCACGACCAGCAAGACAACAGAACTCCACTCATCCAGGCGTCCATCTCCTTCAGCCAGCTGGATGTGAAAGTCTCCTTCGATTATCAACCTTTCCTTATTGCTCATATCTCTCAGTTCGCGTTTTTCATGTACAATGTTCGCCCTACGGCCGATGCGCCCAACGAGCGGCTTTTCAGTATCCTCGATGGAGATCAGGTGCAGGTGTTTTGCACCAGCATGACTGCCTCCCAAGCCTTGGCTCTATTCCAGGCTTGGCAGCGACTCGTTCAAGATAAGCAAGCAGCGTACGAAGCATCTCTACAAGACATCGAGCGGTACCTGCAACGAAAGACTTCCGTGTCCTCGGAGAAGACCGAGACAAGCTCACGGGAGATCTCCAAGCCCACTAAGGAGGAAACAGAAGAAGCACCCATTTCACTGCATACCGGAGTTGTGGTCAGTATCAACGTGGTCACCATGGGCGTCTTCCCGCGCTCGTTCTTTGACAACCATGTCTTCAAGCTGGAAGCACGGGATGCCCAGGCTCGGTTTGATGTGTCACTCGACCAGGGCAAGATCCATAGTGCACTGGGTCTGACCTTGGGTCAGCTGCGGGTTGCTCTATCCAACGTTGTTCGTTCCGGTTCCATGGATGCGGACGAGCTTCTGCTTGTCAGTGAAGTTGGCAATCGTGTCACTGGATCCCGAGGAGGCACGATCCTCAAAGTGCCGCGACTTGTGGCTCGGATGGAGACCTGGCAGGTCCCAGGATCCCACCAGATCGAGTATATCTTTCAAAGCACGTTTGAAGGCAAGGTCGACGTCGGATGGAACTACTCCCGCATCAGTTTCATCCGGGACATGTGGGAATCGCACTCGCGCGCGTTGGCCTCCCGGCTCGGTAAGCCGCTGCCTCCGTCCGCGGTCCGCATCACGGGGGCGCTGAATGCCGACGGGGGCGGTGGCGACAAGAACGAGTCGCAGGAGAAGATCACGGCGGTGGTCAATGTGCCGCAGTCGAAGTATAGCTATGTGGCGTTGGAGACGCCGGTGATTGAGACGCCGCAACTGCGCGACATGGGCGAGGCTACCCCACCGTTGGAGTGGATTGGGCTTCAACGGGACAAGCTACCCAACATTACTCATCAGATCATCATTGTTACCCTTCTGGAGCTCGCGAAAGAGGTGGAGGATGCATATGCAAAGATACTGGGGTCGTCGTGATGCCATGCAGCTTTGCCTTACATGGCGGAGGTGTTGTAATGAGACGTCGAGTCTGTGCGTGAGCCGGTGTTGGTTTTACCTATCTGTGCTGGGCTATTGGTTCGAAGGACGTGCTTATTGGTACGTGCCTTTTGCTTAGGCAACCCCTTTAGACTGTATATAGAATTGTTCATATCTCTAGCGTACATGTAATGTATATACTATAGCAAAAACTAATGAGTGTTGACTTGTGAAAGGAGAAGAGATGTCCCACCTGATGACTTGGTGGCTGTTGATAGAACAATTCATACCTGCCTGAGGCACCGACACAACTCGGAGGAAAGCGGCACAGGGTGGAAGACGCAGATTGTGAGGGCAGTGGAACCACCGACCGGCCGGGCAGGCTGTAAGTTGCTGTACGGAGGAGTACTGCTGCATCCAATGCATCCAATGCATGCACTCCCCGCCATCCTTAACTCCGCCGCCCAATTGTCCGCGAGGCGGTGAACATGGAGGGGGGAGTTTGCCTGTCAGCGACGAGGGGCATTACCATACCATACCGTATGCTACCTACTAGCTCAAATTCCTGCTTCATCCTTGAGCAGCTGTTACAATGAACTGACCTACAGTGCAGCAGGTCAGGATGATCATGAATGGATGAATGCATGAGTGGCAGAAAGCAGTGTGTCAACCACTTCCACAGCCTGTTCGCCTCCAATGAGACCACTCCCACCTACCTGATACAAGATGGAGATTTTCCTTCCGTGCTATACGTCAGACCAGCAGTCAGCGGCAAATCAAGAGGCTCCATCGGCCCAGAATCCACGGTCCAACCAGAGCAGACAGCTCTGAAATCATGATATCAACCCCAAGCCTGCGGTGGTTTTTCCTTGCCACCTCGGGAGCGAAGCATGCATTTTGGTTACTGAAACTCTGGGTACGTCGGGAGTTTAAATGGTGTGTGAGCAAGAAGAGCAGAGAGTAAAGCACAAGAGCTGAAGCTGAGCTGAGCTGAGCTGAGCTGAGCTATGATAGCTCAAGTACTGTTCCAACGACAGGTGATTTGTAGAGGGGATATTGTAACCATGGTCTGCTCTGATGCATGCTATAGGAGAGACGGACTCTATCTACTCGTACCATGTACAGTACGACAGTACTGAAGTAGTCACGGGTAAGCAAGTATAGCCTGTCGGGAGAAGATAGAGGACTGCCTGAATTTCGGGTTTACAGTGATTCAACGGTCAACGGTGACTCCCTTCTCTTTGTCATCGGAAATGACAATCGCATCAGACCACTGGTAGAGTAGTCTTTTTTCTCTTCTCTGACTCTTCAGTGCGTCCCTTCTGATGTTTCAATTCATCTCCATGGAATGATGGAGGACAATAATGATGATGGCAAGAGAGCGGGCACCCAAATGGGATAGGATACAGTAGTACCAGTACGGTATCAATTACCAACCGGTCGGAATTATTACCACCTCGTGGTAGGGGAACTACCACCCACGTTGCTCAAATCAGAACGGTCACAAAACGAGGGGCCGGGCAAATCTCCGTAAAAACCAACAGTAAAGAAAAAAAAAAAAAAACGCACATCCCAGATTTGAAATCGGCCACAAAAAAAATACTCTGCAAGCCCCACCAGCCGCCCTTCTCGCTTTCCTTCCCTCCCTCTTCATTTCCCCTCTTTTCTCCTCCTCTTCCCTTTTCCCTCTCTTTTTCCTTTCCTCACCTTCCGCCCGTGAAGCCATCGTTCTCTCCCTCTGTTAAAGGAGTTTCTTCGCACATAGGTCCTTTTTGTCCTATTCTTCACAGGTCGAGCTAGCTCTCGATCGTGACCCTTGTGTGTCGTTTCTTCTTTTCCCTTTTCTCCTCACATATCCAACCCCGCCTCTACGGCCTTGATCTGAAAAATCAGTCAAGATGGTTAAGTATGTTGTCCTGCTACTGCTGCCCATCTCCCCGTACCCCGATATCCATCCCATCATGGATGATCCGATTAAGGATAAGGGTGATTGTCGTTCGAGATGAGAATATCATGCTAACAATGTCTTGTATAGCTTCACTATCGAAGAGGTCCGTTCAGACAAGACACCCCCGCACCCGCTTGCATGATCCCGTCCTGCAGATGGGAAGGATGATGGGAAAACTCTGTGCGAGAGAACTAACACCATGTAGATCCGCGGCCTGATGGACCGTCCGACCAACATTCGGAACATGTCCGTCATTGCCCACGGTATGTGTTAAACTCACCAGCAAGGATCAATTCCTGGAATGCAACGCTGACAGACCTTCCCTCTCTCAGTCGATCACGGAAAGTCCACCCTTTCCGATGCCCTGGTCCACCGTGCCGGTATTATCTCTGCCGCCAAGGCTGGTGAGGGTCGTTACATGGACACCCGTCCTGACGAGCAGGAGCGTGGTATCACCATCAAGTCCACTGCCATCTCCCTGTACGCCAAGTTCGATGATGAGGAGGACCTCAAGGAGATCCCCGGCTGCAACGGTGGCGAGTTCTTGATCAACTTGATCGATTCCCCCGGTCACGTTGATTTCTCCTCCGAAGTCACTGCCGCTCTCCGTGTCACTGACGGTGCCCTCGTCGTCGTCGACTGTGTCTCCGGTGTCTGTGTCCAGACCGAGACTGTCCTTCGTCAGGCCCTCACTGAGCGTATCAAGCCCGTCCTGATCATCAACAAGGTCGACCGCTCCATGCTCGAGCTTCAGATCTCCAAGGAGGACCTCTACCAGTCCTTCTCCCGTACCGTTGAGTCCGTCAACGTCATCATCTCCACCTACCACGACCCTGCTCTTGGTGACGTCCAGGTCTACCCCGACCGCGGTACCGTTGCTTTCGGTTCCGGTCTCCACGGCTGGGCTTTCACTGTCCGCCAGTTCGCCGTCAAGTTCGCCCGCAAGTTCGGTGTCGACCGCAAGAAGATGCTTGAGCGTCTGTGGGGTGACAACTACTTCAACGCCAAGACTAAGAAGTGGACCAACAAGGCCCCCGAGGGTGGTGAGCGTGCCTTCAACCAGTTCATCTTGGACCCCATCTTCAAGATCTTCGCTGCCATCAACAACGACAAGAAGGACCAGATCCCCACTCTCCTCGAGAAGCTCGAGATCAAGCTCGCCAACGACGAGAAGGAGCTCCAGGGCAAGCAGCTCCTCAAGGCTGTCATGCGCAAGTTCCTTCCCGCCGCCGACGCCATGTTGGAGATGGTCTGTATCCACTTGCCTTCTCCCGTCCAGGCCCAGAAGTACCGTGCCGAGACCTTGTACGAGGGTCCCAAGGACGACGCTGCCTGCGTTGGTATCCGCGACTGTGACCCCAAGGCTCCTCTGATGCTGTACGTCTCCAAGATGGTGCCCACCTCCGATAAGGGTCGTTTCTACGCTTTCGGTCGTGTCTACTCCGGTACCGTCCGCTCCGGTCTCAAGGTCCGCATCCAGGGTCCCAACTACGTCCCTGGCCAGAAGACCGATCTCTTCATCAAGAGCATCCAGCGTACCATCTTGATGATGGGACGTTTCGTCGAGCCCATCGAGGATGTTCCTTGCGGTAACATCGTTGGTCTGGTCGGTGTTGACCAGTTCTTGCTCAAGTCCGGTACTCTTACCACCGACGAGACCGCCCACAACCTCAAGGTCATGAAGTTCTCCGTCTCTCCCGTCGTTCAGCGCTCCGTTGAGGTCAAGAACGCTCAGGATCTGCCCAAGCTGGTCGAGGGTCTCAAGCGTCTGTCCAAGTCCGACCCCTGTGTCCTGACCTTCATCTCCGAGTCCGGTGAGCACGTCGTCGCCGGTGCTGGTGAGCTCCACCTCGAGATTTGCTTGAAGGATCTCGAGGAGGACCACGCTGGTGTTCCTCTCCGTATCTCCGACCCCGTCGTCCAGTACCGTGAGACCGTCAGCGGCACCTCCAGCATGACTGCCCTGTCCAAGTCCCCCAACAAGCACAACCGTCTCTACCTGACTGCCCAGCCCCTTGACGAGGAGGTCTCCCTCGCCATCGAGGCCGGCAAGATCAGCCCCCGTGACGATTTCAAGGCTCGTGCCCGTATCCTCGCTGACGAGCACGGCTGGGATGTCACCGATGCCCGTAAGATTTGGTGTTTCGGTCCCGACACCTCCGGTGCCAACTTGCTGGTTGACCAGACCAAGGCCGTCCAGTACCTCAACGAAATCAAGGATTCCGTTGTCTCCGGTTTCCAGTGGGCCACCCGTGAGGGTCCCGTTGCTGAGGAGCCCATGCGCTCCATCCGCTTCAACATCCTTGATGTTACTCTTCACGCTGATGCTATTCACCGTGGTGGTGGTCAGATCATCCCCACTGCTCGTCGTGTCTTGTATGCTGCTACCATGCTTGCCGACCCCGGTATCCTGGAGCCCATCTTCAACGTCGAGATCCAGGTTCCCGAGCAGGCCATGGGTGGTATCTACGGTGTCCTTACCCGCCGCCGTGGTCACGTCTACACCGAGGAGCAGCGCCCTGGTACTCCCCTGTTCAACGTCAAGGCCTACCTGCCCGTCAACGAGTCCTTCGGTTTCCCCGGAGAGCTCCGTCAGGCCACCGGTGGTCAGGCTTTCCCCCAGTCTGTCTTCGACCACTGGTCTGTCCTCCCTGGTGGATCTCCTCTTGATCCCACCACCAAGCCCGGTCAGGTCGTTACTGAGATGCGTAAGCGCAAGGGTCTCAAGGAGCAGGTTCCTGGCTACGAGAACGTAAGTTTTCTCTGTTTCACTATGGTTTTCGATCTGATGCTAATCCTTTCTGCAGTACTACGACAAGCTGTAAACACGTTCCAAGCAAGCCGACTAGGTTTCAAGTCTGTGATGGTTGGAATCCTATTATGAGATTGACGAACGCAATACCCTGTCTACGTTGAGGGGGATGGAAAATGAAAATGAGGTGAAACAGCTTAATGTCGTATGTGGATTGTCGAATACCTAGAAGTAGAATCCAGGTGTGCACGAGCATTTGCTTTGGCTTTTTTATTACGTTTACGACTGCGAGAGCTTTTCCGATAGTTCAGTTGCTGTCCCATAGTTGGACATTAAAATATGAGATGGCAGTTCAAGTTCACCGCTGTTTTATTAGAACAATCGTAGATGTAGCTGCTCTGTAGTCGCCCTGTAGACTATACGGAGTTGATCTGTGCTGGTGTGTTTTGATAGTAGAAGTTTTCGTCAGAATTAAGCAACGGGCAGGCTCGGAGGGCAGTCACGTGGTATTCTGTCATCCGCGTCGCTCGCGTTTCCCCGGCTTTTTCGAACCGCCAGGCTTTGTCGAATATTTATCGAGTCCTTACTGCCAAGCCATGGTTTGATCTGTCGTTCGCATCGCTTTCGTCCCATCATTCTTGCAGTCGCTGGATAGTGTCCCTCCCTTGCAACATCTTTTCGAGTTCCTCGGTTCCAACTGTCGGTTTCAAACGGCGAGGACGGACGCCTGCCTGATCGACCGTCAAGAGCTTCGAGCCACAGACCCCTCTCTTTGGTGACAATCGGGCCCAGATTGCCCGACCCTACTCGACATCATGCAACTTACCGAGAACGAGGCAACGGAGGTGAAGAAATGGGTTGTCAGGAAGCTGGAGGATATGTAAGTGTTGTTCTCTGTCCGCAAGAGGAACCGTCACGCTTCGAGCGCCCAACCTGCCTTGTCCGCGCGCGCCGTTCGCTCGACTAACCTCTCGTCGCCTGACAGCTCTGATGCCGACTCCGATGTACTTGCCGACTATGTTCTGGCGCTGATCAGGACCGATGCTCCCGACGAGGATATCCGGAAGGCTTCGGTGGATAACTTGGAGGATTTCCTTCGTGAACGTTAGTTTCTTTTTTTTTTCCCCTTGCGCCGCCGGGCTTGAGATGAGATGGTTTTCTTGTGTGCTTGGTCACAATGGCTACATTTTGCTGACGTTCTCTGTTATCTTCGGGTCATGTACAGACACCGTGAATTTCGTCGACGAGCTCTTCGCGACCTTTGCGTCGAAACCGCAGCCCGCTGCTGCTGCCCAACCGTCGTATGCGCAGGGCCAGTCGCAGGATGCATCTGCGCCCGCTCCCCAAAACCAGCAGCAGCAGCAACAACCACAGCAACCACAGAATGCATTCAACCCTCCAACCGGTCCTTCCAAAGGCCCCTTCGGAGCACAGCAGATGGGCAACAATTTCCCCGGACAAGCGCCAGGTGGTGATGGTCAGCACAACTTCAACCGCAAGCGTACGTTCCAGGAGGGTTTCCAGATGGACGTGGACCGCGAAGAAGTCCCGCAAAATCGCACTTACAAGACCCCCCGCCGGGGACGTGGTGGTGGCCGAGGGGACTGGATGGGTGGCAGGGATGGTCGCGCAGGCGGACCCGGGCAACAGCAGCAACCACACACTTTCAACCCTCAAGCCCCGGGATTCGTCATGCCCCCCACGTTCCCGCCGTTCGATCAGAACGATCCCATGGCGGCGATGATGGCGCTGCAGAGCATGGGGTTCCCCCAGATGCCGGGAATGCCGCCGATGCCGATGCCGCCGGCGGGCGCTGGGCAGCAGCCGGGCGAAATGGTGCCGAAGAGCTCGGAGCGGTGTCCGTTCTATGAGACGCAGGGAATCTGCTACCTGGGGACTACGTGTCCGTACCAGCATGATACTGCGGGCGGGGCTTCTAAGACGGATGGTATGTATTTGGCTTGCTATCTAAAAGGCGTGCGTGACTGAGGACTGATTTTTTCAGGCGCAGAATACGATCCCAAGGCTTCGAGTATCGTTACAGACTACCAGAGACGATCGGACGGGCCGCCTATGCGGGGCGGCGACCGCGGTCGTGGCCGTGGCCGTGGCGGCGACAGAGGTGGATTTGGCGGCCGAGGACGTCGGTCCGAGTTCTCCTCTGCTGGTCCCAACGAGGATACGTCGATTACGACAATCGTCGTGGAGCAGATTCCCGACGACAAGCTCGACGACGCGACGGTCCGGGAGTTCTTCTCGCAGTACGGTGAAATCACGGACCTGTCGTTACAGCCGCACCGACGACTCGCGCTGATCACTTACGAGAACCACGCGGCCGCCAAGAGCGCCTGGTCCAGCCCGAAGGTAATCTTCGACAACCGTTTCGTCAAGGTCTACTGGCACAAGCCCAAGGGCGACCGGAACGGGGACTCCCGGCCGCACCATCACGCCGGCGCGGGCGGCGACTCGGAGGCCCCGGCTTTCAACCGGGAGGAGTTCGAGAAGCAGCAGGAGGAAGCGCAGCGCGCCCACGAGGAGAAGCTCAAGAAACGCAAGGAGACCGAAGAGGCCAAGCAAGCCCTGGAACGACAGCGCGATGAGTTGCTCAAGAAGCAGCAGGAAGAGAGACAGCGGCTGATGCAGAAACTCGGCGGCAGCGGCGCCGCCAGCAGCAGCAATGGCGACGCTACCGGCGGCGGCGGCGCGTCTCCCGACGGAGGAGATGGCCGGTCCCCGTCGGCGCAACCGGAGCATGTCAGCGAGCAGACCAAGCAGCTTCGGGCGCAGCTGGCCGCTCTGGAGGCTGAGGCCAAGAGCCTGGGGATCGATCCTGCTGGTGGGGGTGCGTCCGGGCCGGGCTATCGCGGCCGCGGCCGAGGCGCCTACGGTCGAGGTGGATTCGCCCCTCGTGGCCGGGGCGGCTACGATCCCTATTATCGGGGCGGCGGTGGCTACCGTGGTCGTGGTGGCATGGCCGGTCGTGGCGGTGTGCTCCGTCTGGATAACCGACCCAAGCGCGTGGCTGTCTCCGGGGTGGAGTTCAACTCGGAGAAGGATGAAGCCTTGCGACAGTTCTTGATTGTAAGTGTCCTCCCGTTTCAGTCCAAGGCTTGCAATTCAGCCATTCTGATTACTAACATCATATCCAGGGCGTCGGCGAATACTCCTCCATCGAACCCAACCCCGACCAGCCCGACTCCCTCATCGTGGCCTTCAAGGAACGCTACCAGGCCGAGAAATTCATGTTCGGCCCCCGCGACATCCCGTCCGTCGGTCAGGTCGAGCTCGCCTGGGTGGCCAACCCGCCCATCTCCCTTCCTCAGCCTGGTGGTGGTGGTGGTGGGGGTGGGGGCTCCGACACCAACAAGACCGGCTCGGACGAGGATACGTTGATGGACACCACGCCGATCGCGTCGGGGGTGCCAGACCAGACCTCCGGCCGGAAGGACGGCGGCCATGATGTCGATTATGATGTTGCGGAGATGGATGATAGCTGGGGGGTGGAGTGATTTGACTAGGTTGGTGTTTTGATAGGGTTAGGTCTGTTTGAGAGTGAGATTTCATGTGTTCTTAGATGGGAGCATTTTCGCTGGTACTCTGGAATGTGGGTTCCATTTTGGGGAGATAAAATATGATGAGATTCGGGGCCTGTAATCGTGTTCACGTATGGACGGGAGGTAGAGTTGAGATGAGTGCTCGTAGCTGCTGCTGTTGCTGGTATGGTGTTGAAGTAGCTGTTGCTGCAACTTGAGAGAAACGAGGGTCATCTACCAGGGCTCTATTCCAGAGGGCATGACGATATACACCCTGCTAGGTATATTGGGCAAGTTTATGTATGGTAGAAGAAGTATAATTGGTGTTTGATAGGGGATATCCTATAAATGTGGTTATGCTCCGAATATATAGTTCCATAGTTTAACCTCAGGCCAGCACTCTGACCCTCAACAGGACGACCAGACTATTGAGGAGCATCTTACCAACTCACTGCCTTGGGCAGTATACGTAGTATACGTTAAAAGAAAACTAGTTTTGGAAGTTGAGGTGAGGCTAAACATATGCTTAGTCACAACAGGATAGTCAGATCTAATCAACTAACCAGCTAAAAGGGTCATCCACGTTGCACATAAACAACATGGCTCTTCTACCCAGTATATCCCTACTCCCAGCCAATCTCCAATCGCCCATCTGCTTCCCAATGCACGCCATCAGCAAAGCACTGCGCATGGCCCTCTCTCATCATGGCCCCCTTCATCCCACCCACCACCGAATACAAGTGCTACCAACACTCTATCAGCCCGCCCTAACTACATCCCCACAAACTCGGCGTCACACGCACAACCCCCGGGCATTCTCCAACCTAGACCTAGACCTAGATCCCAAGAGTAAATACCATCGACTCCGACTCCGCGAGCCCGAAGATCTCGTGACCGGCTTCGAAACCCTACTACATCTCCTCCGCAACCCGGCCGCCGCGCAGCACGTTCGCCATCTAGAAGTCCATGGATCTCGAGATGTTAGGGGCTGCGAAAAGACCCAGAGCCATCAAACGAGACGCGCGCGCTGCCGGAAGCAGATGTACGCAATCTGGAGACCGCTATCGCGCAAGCCGGATTCACCGAAGGCGACGAGCCGCAAAAGCTGCCGAAGATCCTCCTGCAAGACCCCGCGGGGAGAAAGATGTCCGTGACACGACACTTTTCATCCTTTCGCCATGCGTTGACTCCTTCGACGAACCGCCTGGTAGACGGAATCCCTCTCACCTCAGCCATGCAGCATTCAAACAAGCCCCTCGCCGCCCTCCCTGATCACAGTCTCCCCGCAACTCGAATCCCTGGCCCTCTACCACATGGGCGAGTACGACACCGCCCGCCCCGGCCTTCAGTCTAGTCCCGCTCCTCCGCCGGACCACAGCCCAAGCCGTCTCCCCTCACCTCCCGAACCTCCGGAAGATCACCTTCCTCCCGGACCACGACTCGCCCGAGAACGCCGGCGTGCATTACATCCCCGAGTCATATTTCCACCGCATCGACCTCGTGCGCCGCCTGCCCGCCCTGAAATCCGTCGCCGTCACGCTGGCGACATGGAACATCGAGGCCGGGACCCCGCCGCCCCCGCGCTCCGCGAACTACGAGGAAGATCCGCTTCACGCACTCGCTGATGCACGAGGCGGACCTGTGCTGCCTCATCGACGCCGCCAAGGGTTTGCGTAGGTTTACATACAAGATCGGCGGCCGGAGGGCTGCCCGAGGGCGGCAAGCAGACCGCGTCCATATCTCGCCGCCCCTCCAGAGTCTGTGGAGAAATCGACAGACCCTCGAGGAACTCGATCTCGACGTCGAGGACAATGTGTCGTGGGGGGAGGTCTATGGGACGGAGGGGCGGGGGCTTACCGCTGGGGAGTTGGAGTTTGGATGATCGGGACAGTGACGAGGAGTATAAGGAGGCGTGGGCGGAGGAGCGGGCTGCCCTAGATGTGAGGCTCGAGCTGCCGCCGCATGATATCTCGTTGATGGATTTCCCGGAGCTGAGGCGCTTAGGGGCGGGGCCGCACGCGCTTTGCTTTTTGGTGAGGGGCATAGGTCTGAATCGCTAGGGGGGGTGGGCCGTCCTCGCGATTCTCCTTGGTAGATTGTCTGACCCGGGCTTTGGAGGTGTTGCGGGTGTATGGACGGGGGGAAGAGGAGGAGGAGGAGGAGGAGGAGGAGGGTCGGGTCGCCGGATTTGGATGTTGATGCGGAATTGGTGAGGGCTTGTGGCTGAGAGGAGGGGTTTGATGAGGTGATTCCTAGGGGGAGGGATGTCCCTGACTGGGCGGGGGAGGAGCATCCGTTGGTCTGGAGGGGGCCTTATGGTGGGTGGGCTTGTTGAGGTTGTTGCTTGTTCGGTTGTGGAGAGCAACCTTTGAAGCACTTACGCAGGCTGTGCAAGGACTTGTGATATAGTCTAGTCCTTTAGGAACCTTTTCTTTAGAAGTACAGTACTTATATATATACTGTGTATATCCTACAGCAGATGTCGATGTCTCAAGGTTGATGTAGTAGGAAGCTTCCGCCAATCAGCGTTCATCAACAGGCCAACTATGACTAGAGTGGCGACGCGATAAACTCACTCACTGAACACAAAACTGCCCTGAGCAGTAGACACTTCTCTTCTTCTGACTTGAAATCCCACTTGTGAGTCACATCAGTGACCATTTTATGGTGACTATCAACGAATGGTTGGGAAGAAGGATTCCGCTCCGCTCACTCACTCTTTTTCTTGTTGGGGCCAACCATGTCGTCCATGTGCTTAGTCACGGCCTGGACTGGATAACGTAATCCACATGCGGGCTGGCCACACAAGCGGCCTGGCCGGCTTGCCAAGATTTCCAGTTAACATACAATTTTAAAGCTGAAAATCAACATATTTATACTGTTTAAATTGCCTTTTTTTAGTATTAAATCCTTGCAGGGCATTTTATATATATATAACTAAGTTGATTATAATCAGAACAGTAAAGTAGTATACAGCAGCAAGGCTGTTTTTTACTAAGCACCTTTAAAGGCCTTTTAGTTTTAAATACCTTATTAGCTTTATAGGCTTATTAAAAAGCCTTAACTGCCTTACCAACAGTTAAGCTGTTAAAGCCTAATATTTAGTAATAGCTTTATTTTTTCTTCTTTTTCAGGTGTTTATTAGTAGCCTAGAGTTAATAGTTCTTATACTTAAACAGGGCAGTTTAGCTTAATACTATTTTAGTACCCTTTAAAATATATAATATAGCTGTTTTTATAAACTCCAGAGGACTCTATATTTATTTATAAAACAGTTTTTTAACTATAGTTTTATACTTTTTTAATTACCTTATATTTTTAGGTGTTTTTAGTAATATTAAAGCTGTATTTGGCCGGCTGATTAGTATAGTTTTATAAAAATAATAAACTAGTTTTCTAAGTATTTTATCTGGCTGGAACAGTGCCAGCCCGGTAGCCTAAAAAATACTTTAAATTATTAAAGTTTTAAAGGCCTTAGTTTAAGCATTTAAATATATATCTAAAAAATTAATTTTATTAATATAGTAGATGTCTGTATAAATTAATTTTTTAATTAAACCGCTATACATCTTTTTAAAAGGCGCGAAATATGCGATATTAAAAGGTTAATAAAAATATAAAAAGTATACTAGTATATAAATAAAAATAATACTATTTTAACTGTATATTTTATTAAATTTAAATATTAAATAAAAGTTGTATTTGTTAAGAATTAAAAGACTATACTGGTCAACTCTTTAAAGCTTTATTAAAAAAATAAAGTATTTATAAAGCTAGTATAAACTAATATTATTACTGGTCCAGCTGTTTAGTAAAATATTAATTCTTTAAGTATAAGGCACCTTATTTTAATACTATATCTCTATATAAACTTTTTCTTTAAAAATTAAGTATAGAGGCAGGGCCCAGCCTGAGGTATTAATATACTTAATTAAAGTTATTTATTTATAGTTTTTAAACTATATAAAAAATAGCTTATTTATACAGTTAGATTTTATTACTATATATACAGTAGCTACTAAGCCCATAGCAAAGCTAATTTTATTAAAATTAAAAATATTCTTATTTAAAATACTGTACTTTAATATAGTTTTATAAACTTGGTTAAACCATTTTCTAATAACAGCCGGATTCTTGCAGAGAGTATACTTATAGTTATATTAATAAAAATAATAAGTTTTTAAAAAATTATATTTTTTAATAAAGTTGTATATCCAGTTCTTGCTGACAGATATATAGGCAGCTAAGTTGTATTTTTAGATTAAAATATTAGCTATTATACAGATTTAAAAAGGCCTAAATAAAAGGTCTTATTTATTTATAAAAAAAATCTACTTCTCTAAGACTTCCTTCTTTAAAAAAGTTAGTTTATATAATTTAATATATATATTACTAATTGCCTTAGTTCCTTGGAGGCGTATTTATAGAGTTGACTACAGAATATTGTATAATACTACTGCTTAATATATAGATAAAATTTTATTATTTTTTAAAGCCTTAATTGCCAAGATAATTCTGCCTTCTTATTCTACCAAGTTTTTTATTAATATAGCCATTTTTAATAGATTAGTAGGTGGTTGTTTGGCTTTGTTTTTAGTAGGGTGGAAGAAACGCGAAGTGGTGGCCAGGCCGCTTGTGTAGCCAGCCCACATGTGGATTATGTTAGTCAACCTAATTACTAGTAGGTAGATATATTGATAGATACCTCGGTTCATGACTATAGCCACGTTCATACTATACCTACATACACCAACAGATAAACAACCTCACCCAGCGGTCCCTGCCCCCAACCCACCCTCCCCTTCCAAAAAACCCAGATCCCCCAAAATGACAACAAAAGGCAGCTGCTTCTGCACCGCCATCCGCCTCGAATGCACCAGCCCACCCCTCACAACGGTCAGTCCTCTGCCCAGCCCAGCCCTATCCTGTCCCTCCAGTCCCAGTCCCAGTCTCAGTCTCAGTCTCAGTATCAGCATCTCAGCCCCAGAACCCCCCTCCCCCTCCCCCCTTTCTCTCCCCAGATAACCCCACCCAACCCAACAGACTCAACCCTAACACCACAGTGAACGCAACAGGGTCTCTGCCACTGCCACGACTGCCGCAAACTCACCGGCTCAGCCTACTCGCACAGCGTCCTCGTGCCCACGCCGGCCGTGCGGGTGGTCGCCGGCACGCCCAAGGCCGTGGCCAAAACGGCCGAGAGCGGGAATGCGGTGCGGAATTACTTCTGTGGGGATTGTGGTTCGTTCCCCCCCCCCCGGCCTTTCCCTTACTTTCTGTTTTTGCATTTCTGGGGGATGAGGATGGTTGATGGCTGGTTGGCTTGCTTTGCTTTATGGGAAGGCTGGCTTCAGTAGCTAACGTATGTGGCATGTTGACGATGGGATAGGCTCGCCCCTTTACGGGCACAAGATTAATCCGGATGGGCGGCCGGCGGAGGTGACGGTTGTGCGGGCCGGGGTGCTGGATGATGTTGAGGTGGTGGAGAGGAGGCCCGAGGCGGAGTTGTTTACGGGGCGGCGGTTGGGGTGGGTTGCGGCTGTGGAGGGGGCGGGGCAGTTTTGTGGGATGTTGGAGTTCTCTTAGTTCTTTGGGTGGTTATTCTTGGATGTTGATGTAGAAGATGTATGGGGTGGTTGGGTTGGGTTGGAGTTAGGATACGGGTTTTGTATAGTAACTAGGGGAGATTGGTGTGTAATGCACTTGACATTGCTGTGGCTAACTGAAGAAGTGATGTCTACCCAATGCTCTAAGTCAGGACTACCTATCTCAAAATCAACGCTCTAAGTTTGTACAAAGACTGCCCGCGTCTATACATACTTTCTGAGTCTCAGCCGACACAAAACAAGCTTACTACCGCCTGCTTCGGACTGCATCATCCTCACTGTCGCTGTCCATCTGGTCTAGCATCCGGTCGATCTCGTCGCCCGCCTGGGCTTCCAACCCGGTGGCTTCCTCGGCCGACCCGGCTCGTGGCTGGCCATGACCATGGGTACTACCGGAATAGGAGGGCTGGCTCCACGGTACGCGCAGACTCGACTCCTGCGACCCGTTGCTGCTCCGTGGGACGTGCTGGTGCTGAGGCCGCCGCGAATGCTGGGAGTGGGTCGAGTGGTACCCCGAGTGGCCGGGGCTGGACATGAACAGCAGCGTCTCGATCGCGTCCTGCTCCATTGCGCTACTCCGGGCGCGGTCGTGCTGCTCACCCGCCACGCCACCATGGCGCGCGGACGGCATGGAGCCAGACGGCTGGAGCGGAGGCGTCCCCGGTACCAAGATGGTGTCGGAGTTTGCGCTGGACTGGGACAGGCCCACGTCCTGGTGGGAATGATGTCTGCGATGAGTGAAGGTGGGCGGGCTGATGAACTCATTTGGGTTCGGACGTCGACGGCGGTTCCCGTGACTTCCTCCCTTCGAAATGATATCTACAGGCGGGGCGAGTTTCGGACGGGTGGAGTGGTCTATATGAGAATGAGAATGATGATGATGATGATGATGATGATGATAGTGATTTCTCGAGAATCCCGCATGCGGAGATGCAGCAGCCTCCGACCAGGCCGCTGGGGAGAGCCGCGCCGACCCCACGGGCCGGTTGAACCCAGCCGTGCCATACATGTCTGGCGACGACATCGTCATGCTGGCAGGCGAGCCCATCCCCTCTGGGTGTTGTGCATCGACCTGGTCAAGATAGGCCAGCTGCCCCGATCGCACCAGCGAGTCAATGCGCGCCGTCGGCGGCAGGTCCTGGGCCTTCTGCATCTGTCGGCTCTTTTCAATTTTGGCCGCCGCATACGAAAGGCGAGTGCGCAGGTGCACGGACAACTGAACTCATATCAGCAACCCCAGCACCCCACCAGAAGTAGAAGGAACAAGTTACCGCTGCGATTCGGCTTTCGCGGGAGAGCGACCCGATACTGCTCGACCGGAGCCTCTCCATCCCTCTTCCCCCCGTCTTCGACGTCTCCGTAACAGAATCAGCAAACCCTGGCGCACGTTGCTTCCCCGGCGAGCCCTTTCCAGAAGGACTGCGCGATACCGAGAGTGGTCGGGGCGTGGCCTGCTGCCCCGCGATCGCTTCCTCGATGCTCAGCTGTCTGCCTCCCGACACGGACCGAACCGAGTTGGATACCTTCGACGGCTGCGACACGGCCGATGAAGTTCCCTGCGAAGCCGATACACGCGAAGAGGAGTACGAGGAGCCGTGCCTATCATCGTCATACAACGGGAACTCAGGCGTCAAGTGGGCAGTGGCCGGTCCCACGAGCGAGGATTGATCCGTCGACGACGACGATCCCCGCGCGACACCTCCCTGCGATTCTGGATCATTGGCAGCCTTACTGAAGCCCAAAGCACCGTCCCGTCTCTCACCCCTTGCATCATACCGAGAGTCAATCTGTCGCGACGAGGAAGACTGCGCGGAGTGCACGTGCTGGCGCGGATCCAAGCGCGGCGCTCCGCTGCTCATGTTGGGCCCGGACTATAGAAAAGCGGGCGGAACGGACTGACTGCAATGCAGTGTGTTTTCTTTGTCTGGTACTGTCTTGGGAGCAGACGATGTTCTACGGGGAAGCAGGGCAGATACAATGACTCAAGCCCCTCCCCATCCCCAGATTGAGAGTAATCAAACTTCGGATTTTCGCTGAAGTCGCAGAGAAAATCCGCATGAACTGGACGTATCTTATTCGCCGCAGATTTTCCCCCGATTGCTAGGCGTTGCGGATATTTTTGGCGCGGGAATGTCCCGCAGCCCCGACCCAGTCAATCAACCCACTCGGACTGACACACTCAGTGTACTCGAGTCGAACACGGTCCTCACTCAGGGGGTGGGATGTGTACTGGGTTCGTGGCTTCCCTGCAAGGAGGCAGATGTTGTGGAATCTTCGGACGGTCGCAGCAGGGTGGCAGGCGATGCGGCAAGACGCAGCAATGTCTCTCACACGTCTCTCTCACGCGAGCCTCAGTCCGAACACCAGGTCGAACGGCCGAAGGAGGACGACTCGAGGGGTAGAAGGTAGAGAAAGGCCATAAGAGAGTAACCGCGGCTTGCAGAATAGATCAATTGACAAACAGGCCAACAATCTATCAAGCTTGTCCGTGGGGAAAACACCGGGACGCCAGACTCGCAGTCGCCAGGCGACGACGAGTCGGAGGGCGACGCGTTCACAGCGCAGTCACGTGGTGATAACTGTCAGTCCGGGTGCCTGGGATACCAGGCACCAAAGCGGCATGGAAAGAATCTACACCACCACCACCAACAAACAACGTCATGATCCAAATTGACAAATGACACCAAGTCAATCTATTTCTTCCTGGTATAGAGCAAGCATCAATCCCAAGAACGAGTAACAATGAGTATATTTTCAAACCATGTCAGAGAAGAAATAGGGTCCAAGCAACAAAACTCAACGCCATCCATCCCATGCAGCATGCACATAGATACACATGGATATTATTCACAGAAGCAACTTTTGAAATAAACCTGTAAATAACCTGACCCTGAAAAAAGCAACTAGGTGCTCTACCTGCGCTTCTTGCCACCGCCGCCCCCTTCTCCGTCTTGGGCCTTCCGCTTCTTACCTTCACGACGCCAGTAGTCATCGCGCTCTCTCTTCTCGCGCTCCGCCTTCTTCTCCAGACCCTCGGCCACCTTGGCGCGGTACACCTTGCGGCGCTCCTCCTGCTTCGCCGCGCGCTTGGCCTGCTTCTCGTTGCGCATGGTGTTGAGCTTCTGCATGAGGTCGCGCGCCTTCTTCTCCTCGCCTCCGAGGACCACCGCCCGCTTCTGCATGTAAGTCTTGTCCTTGTGGTGCTTCATCTTGGTGATTTGCGACTTGAAGGGCAGGTCCGTGGCCAGCTGGCGCGGCACACGCAGCGGGTTGAAGTGACGCTCGGGGCGCTCGATCTTGCGGTACGCCGAGTCCTTCTCGAGCGGGGTGGGGATGCCCTTCTCGCGCCGGACCTCGCCGGTGAGACGCATGCCGTGCCAGCCGCTGTCCGCCGCGCCCTCCTCGGCCAGATCCAGCAGGTTGGTGACCGGGTTGTAGAAGCGGTGGGGCTTGATCGGGTACCAGGCCCGCAGGAAGACGATGTCACTCATGAGGATCTTGTCCTCGAAGGTGGCACGGAAGTAGCCCTCGGGCTTGCTCAGCGCGCGCTTGATCTGACCGCGGATGCCGGAGACGGTGCGGATCGAGGCGCCCTCGAATTTGGCAATCTCCAGGGAGGAGTTGAACATGTCCTTGATGAAGGCGGTGTTCTTGAAGATCTTGTAGGGAACACCCGTCAGCTTGAGCTTCTTGACGATCTCGGTGTGTTCGTCGACGTTCAGCACCACACCGGTGGCGGCGATGCGGAAGCCAGGGGCCTTGTTGGAGAAGGATTGCAAGCAGCAGAAACCGGTGTTGGGCGCCACCAGCGGGCCGTAGAAGGTAGCGAAGCAGTGCATGTGTTCGGGGGTGTACTTGAGCATACGGTTACGCGTCCGACTGTCGGAGGTGCTGTAGATCGGCAGGGACTGGAAGCGGCGCCAGCCGAGGGAAAAGATGAGGGGATCGCCGCTCTTGAGGATCTTCTTGTGCCAGCGGTGGCGCTTGATGCGGATCTGGACATAGCCGAAGCGGTCCTCGGTGGGTGCCAGGCCACCCACAATGACGGGGTAGCGAGGGTTGAACTTCGTGGCGAACTCGCAGGGCACCTTCTCGAGAACGATACGTGCATATGTGCCGGCCTTGAAACCTTCCGCTCGGGCGCGGGAAGCCGGGTCGAGCAGATCAAACTCGGCGCGGTTGATGTCGAGTTGCTTCTGTAGCTTAGCCTTCTGCATGTCGTACCAGTCGTCCTCCCCGAACTCCTCATCCCCTCCACCATCCTTGCGCGAGTTATCCTTGGAGTTTGCAAATCCCTCGCGATCTTCCTCCTCGAAGCGGAGTCGTAGCTCTTCTTTCTTCTTCGCATTGCGCTCACGCTCTGCGTCCAGATCGACGGGACCCTCCTCTTTCTCACCCTCCTCGCCACCCTCTTCGTCGTCGGAAAGACCGTTGAAAGCTTCGCCCGTTTCCAGGTCCTCGAATTCACCATCTCCTTCGTCGTCCGAGCCAAAGGCATCGTCCATATCCGAATCATCGTCACCGTCACCAGACAACTTGGCCGTGACAAATCTGCTTCGTAAAGACTCGATAAGCTCCTCATCCTGCCACTTCTCTTCCAGCTTGGCGTAGTCAAACTCAGGAATATGACGGAACTCCTCTTCTTCCTTCTGCTCGGCGCCGGTCTTCTTGAAGAAGGTGTCCTCTTCCTGCTCATCCTCGTCCTCGTCCTCGTCTTCGTTCTCATCACGACCGCTCCATCTGGGCATCACGGCCTCAGGGGCGATGGATTCGTCGTACAGCATCCGCGACAAATCAGTGATGCGGAACTTCGGGCGCTTCGAGTGAAGTGACTTGGCATTAGCAAGCATGTTCTCTTTCCAGCGAGCATTCTCCTCATCGTCAGAGTCCTCCTCGTCGTCACTCTCCAAAATCTGGTCCTCCACGGATGAGATAGAGCCGAGATCAGAGTCGCTATCAGCAAACTCAAGATCACCTTCGGTCTGGCGAGCATTGCCGTTTTGCCTCTCCCTGAAGTTGGCTTCGAAATCTGCGGGTGCGGAAGCATCAATCTCTTCATCCTCGCTAATGTCCTCCTCCAGTTCATCTTCGTCCAGCTCTTCGGCATCATCCTCATCCTCTGCGCTCTCGAAACCTTCGTCTTCATCGTCCACAACATCGGCATTGTTGTTCTCGCCGTCGAGGAACCGAGCGTGGCGCTTGTGTTTTCTTCCAGCAGCACCGTCATCCTCGTCTGCCTTTGCAATGGCTTCACCACCACGGAAGAGGCGGACACCGCCGTCAGCTTCACCGAGAAGCTTGCGCTCACCCTGCAGGCCAACAACCAGTTGCTCGCCAAGACCGCGCTCATCGTCGTCGGACTCGTCCTCGTTTCGTTCGAAGTTTGAGGTTTTCACGTCAATGTAAACGGCATCCTTATCCACCAACACACCACCAACATCAGACATGGGCGCGAACAAGAGCTTTTGCTTATCCCCCAATCGGCGCCGGCTGGTCTTGCCGTTGGCCTTTGCAGCCTGCTGCTCGAAGAACGGTGTCGGGCACGGATCCGGCAGAGACTCGATAGCGGAGACCGTCAAATCACCGACTCCCGGAACGTGCACCCGCGCTCCCTGAGCCGAGAAGTTGGTACCGCGCAGGTAACCATAAAGAGCTATCGTTCTATCACATTTCGGGTCCTCCTCGATCTGGGTGGGTGGCGTGATATCCAAGAAGCGATCTGCGAGGGCGTAGGGGTGGGAGTTACGCCATACGAGGGGTCGAGGGTTCTTCATCACGGACAGGAAGCGGGAGAGATTGTGGACTTCGCGATCGGGGTAACGACCGTTGACGACTCCGGAGAGGTAGAAGAGCTTGGCGCCGTTGTAAAGTTCGCTCCAGAAACGGTGCTTGAGACGCTTCTTGGCGGCCTGCAGAGTGCTCTGCTTCTTGAAAAGGTCGAGATGGGTCAGAATACCGAAAACGTTACCGGGCATACCGTGGGAGCCAAGGACGTTCAAGAACTCCATGGTCTCCATCTCGAATCCATAGTTACCGTCGATCATCAGCAGCACGATATCAGCGATCTTGGCGACATCGATCATGCTAGCGAGGGAATCGGAGGGCGATTCGAGGAACGTGAGACGACGTTTCTTCGAGGTGACCACAGTCAAGGGGCCTTTCGGTGTGCTGAGGGTCTGTTTCGTGTAGCGACGGACGAGGGACTTGATAAGGGTCGTCTTGCCCACCTAGATCGAACACAACCACTGTCAGAATTTCCTGTTCCTGGATTCTCGCATGTGAAACCCCGCTGGAATACTTACTCCAGGTGGTCCGACGATGGCGACAATGAGAGGAGGCGCCTCTTCGGGCAGACGATCCACGAGAGGCACATGAAGTCTCTTTTCTTTGATCTAGATAAGTGAGGGTGCAAGGTCAGTGGCGTTGTCAAAAGTTGTATCGTTGCGGAGGGTGTGTAGCGCATACATCGTGCGATCTCGCGCCGGCCTTGTTCAATTTGCCAGGGTTCGAGAAGGCAAAAGCTTTAGGGTTCGGTCCTGTGAGAGTGACTTCTGTCAGCTACCTGATCACGTTGAAGAAACGATGTTGGAACAAGCCGGCAACTTCATCCCGGAGGCATGCGCAAAAAGATCCATTACATACCATCATACTTTTTCTTCTCCTTGGTGGCTCGATGCGACCTGTTGGATTGCTGCTCCATTGTGGGAAAAGTAAGAGGTCTAGAAGACCTCTAGAGTAAAATCCTTTCCCCGCTTTGATTCGAAGCCGTGACACAGCAAAAAAGGTGAGCGCAAATCTGCAAGACTGCTCCGAATATCTTTCCAAAGCTTGGCTCCAAAATTATTATTCCCATTTTCTTTTGCCGGAAGAAGCTTTTCTCCGAGTCCCGGGGTCTTTCCCGCCCGAAGCACACCAACGGGCGGTGGTTACTGGCAGAAAACTGCGCCAGGCATCCATCCAGGCGGGGAACTTCTTGTGACTAATTGATGAGTTATCGATAAACTCCCTCCCACTTATCGTCCGGCCCGGGCGAGACTCGATAAGGTCTAAACCCCACTATATCGGCCCGGTTCCTCGTCGTCGCCATTGCCAGAAGAGGTCACGATTGTGAGATATGAGCGGGGTAGTATGGGGTCGAATACGATGGGTCATACTCGAGGAGGAGTGCGATTATCGGCACAGTTCCCAGGGCCGCGATGCATTTAATGGCGCCGGATTCCTTTTCCCGAGGCTGTTTTCTAAATCAGAATCCTAATTTCTAAAATTTGGTTGCATATCCAAGGGCTTTCGTTCCTTTACAGAGTCCAGTAGATTCAGAGGAAGAAGCACCCCCTAAATATGACTCCTGCACGTCGTCCTCCGCCCGCATACACGGCTCCCCCAGACTCCGGAGTCCATGCGATCTCGCAAGTCTACAGGTCTATTTCCGAAACCGCGAACAATCCCTCCCAGCGCGTCCTCGAGTCCTCCTTCACGATCCGACCATGCTCCGGGCAAGCGTGGGTGGTCCCAGCCGGCCACATCTGTCGTCTCACCACACCGAAGGGGCCCCAGGTGGGTGATCTGAACATCTGGAACGCACACAACCCCCGTGAGCGCCTGTGGGCTGCACGTACCCGCCAGATCCATGCCTCCCACGTGTCCGTGGGCGACCGGCTCTGGTCCAACCTGCCGTACCTGCGTCCCCTGGTATCCATCACCGGGGACTCACTCGCCGGCGGCCAGCTCCATGAGATCCTGGACGAAGAGGGCAAGAAGAAAGAAGGGAAGGGCTTTGGGACCACGCAGTTCGGCGGACGCGTGCACGACCTCCTGGGCACTCGCTGCGACCCTTACGTCAACCTCGTCATGGGCGGGGAGAGCTTCGACTTCCACTGCCATTCGAACCTGACCCGGGCGGTGGTGCCGTATGGGCTGACCGAGCTCGATGTGCACGATGTACTCAACGTGTTTCAGGTGACGGGATTGGACGAGGAGGGCAAGTACTTCATGGAGACTTCGCCGGCCAAAGCGGGGGAGTACTTTGAGTTCTTTGCGGAGGTGGATGTTCTCTGTGCGCTTTCTGCGTGCCCTGGAGGTAAGTGAGAGCCGCTAGTAGGAAGTGTGCTGTACACAGCTAATGAGGCTTCGCAGGCGACTTGTCAGAATGGGGTTGGGAGGAAAAGGCGGACATGGGGGCTACAACTCGTCCTCTCGGGGTAGAAGTATACAAACTTGCAGACACGACGGTGTTGGAGAAATGGAAAGCACCGCACAGTCCCAAATATCTGGGTGCACATGGCATGAAGATGCCACAGAGGGAGGATGATGGAACGGGGTATGTTGGGCTGTAACGGGGGAATGAGGTCTCTGCAGCTTAGATTGTTGCTCTGTATGTTTAGTAGAGTGAAGCTTCCCTTTTGCACACAGACATGAAACTGATAGATGCGGTATTAAATTGCATAGTCCAAAATTGATCTGATTTGATTCGTTCAACCTTTCGATGACACCAGGGATTGAGGAACGTGTGCGGTCAGAAGGAACACTTCCCTTCCGCGGAATTGATATCGGACACGGTTCATTGATCTCGGATAATTCTGCACAATAATACCTTGACCCTAGTGATCTGAACAAGTCGGAGTGAGAGTTCGATCCCATGTGTCACGATGCTTGTCAAGCTTATCGCGCGGGGCCAGGGAGCCATTGGTGTCAACAAATCCCGCACCGAGAGGATCGAGAGAGCAGCGCTGGTCATGAAAAATGCCTCGTACAAGAGAGATCAGCTAGCTATCCTGCTTATCTTTGCTTTATATCTTCGATCGAAAAAAAAAGAAAGAAAGAAAGAAATCTGCAGAGATAAGGATACGAATGGTAGGATAATTGCAATTTGTCGATGTCGAGAGATGCCGTCGCAACAGGCTTGTCATCGAGGAAAGATTGTCTGGAATCATGGACTCGCTACTCCCGCTGACCTTGAGGCTGAAACAAGTGATACAAATACTCGGAGCTGGGCCATAAGCAAGGTTGATCATGTTTTCCCTTCAACTGATGCGACGACTCCTCCGAACCCGAAGTTTCGACTGTTGCCTGATTGTATTTGTACGAATGCTCTCTGTTCTCTAACATTCGTCAAGCGGTTCCCGGACTGCAATCATCTCACATCATCAGCATGGACTCAGAATCGGAGGCTGAGAAAGCGCCTACTGTAGGCGAGAAGGTCTACAAAGAGCCTTCACAGCCGTATGATACGATTTACAATGTTCGTCCCTGGAACAATTGTCTCAATCAGTCTGAGAAGAGATCAAGCGCGGTCGAGGAGCATGATGATGATCCTGGTCTGTGCAAGCCGGGTGATTATAAGCAGAAGCAGGTTGTTGGCACCCTTGGGCTTATTGAGGCTCATCAAAGTTGACGTGAGCAGGTGTTCAAAGGCAAGATGCTTCTGTGGCTCGCGTACCAGTCCATCGGTGTGATCTATGGTGATATCGGGACCAGTCCGCTTTATGTCTATTCGTCGACGTTCAGCGCGCCGCCTTCGCGAGACGATCTCATCGGTGTCCTCTCCATCATCATATGGTCCTTGATCTTGATGGTGACTGTCAAGTACATCTTCATTGTGCTCCATGCTGATAATGACGGCGAGGGTGGCACATTCAGCACATACTCTCTACTCAGTCGCTATGTCAGCCTGTCACATCCAAGATATGCCAGATCATGAACTAACATGCTGGCTTCAGATGAACATAACCCATCGCGATCCTCGAGAAGCCTCCCTTGTCCAAATGAAAAGACACCTGTCGAATGATCTTGAAAGAGCCAGCAGATACGCCAGGCATAGCCTCGAGACAAGCAAGTTTGCAAGACACCTTCTGAAAGTGGTAGGCGTATTGGCGGTCACAATGGTTCTGGCCGATGGTCTTCTCACCCCAGCTCAGTCCGTCCTAGGAGCGGTGCAGGGCATTGAGATCGTCTCCCCAAACATCTCCAAAGGCACCGTTATCGGCGTGACTGATGCTATCTTGGTCGTATTGTTTCTGATACAACCGCTCGGCATCACCAAGATGACGTTTGCATTTGCACCAATTGTGATAATTTGGCTGGGCTTCAACGCTGTGTTTGGCATTTACAACCTCGCGCATTATGATGCCGGCGTTTTCATTGCCTTCAATCCTGGTTACGCCTTCACGTTCCTTGTTCGACATGGCGAGTCTGGGTGGCGCATGCTGAGCGGAACCTTGCTCGCCTTCACTGGCGTCGAGGCTCTCTTCGCCGACCTGGGCGCTTTCAGTCGGAAAGCGATTCAGATTAGCTGGCTGTGCTACACCTTCCCATGTCTCCTGTTGGCTTACATAGGCCAAGCGGCATACATAAGTGTGCACCCGGAAGCCTACTCCAACCCATTCTATAAAGCAGCGCCGCCGGGTACCATATATCCGGCCTTGATTATTGCCATTCTCGCGGCGATCGTTGCATCACAGGCCATTATCACTGCCACATTTCAGGTATGGCCCTCTTCTCTTATTGGCGACAATGATTGTGATGCATGTTCTGATGCAACAGCAGCTTCTGGCACAAGTAATGAAGCTATCCTACTTTCCCCAGATCAAAGTGGTACACACGTCCGATGTGTTCCACGGTCAGCTCTACATTCCGATCGTCAACTGGCTCTTAATGGTTGGGACGATCCTGGTAGCATCGATCTACAACAACGTATGTTGCCTCTCTACGTTCCCATGGCTCTTTTCTCTGACGCAACGCAGACCACATCCCTTGGAAATGCATATGGTGTCTGTGTCATCTTCGTCACCTTCTTTGACACCTGTATGGTCTCGATGGTGGCAATATTCGTGTGGCGCATCAGCCCAATCATTGTCTTCATACCTTGGCTTGCAATTGCTTGTTTCGATGGGGCATATCTCTCATCAGCGCTCACGAAGGTTCCTACAGGTGCATGGTTCACTCTAGCCCTAGCGACTATACTAGCACTTGTGTTTCTCTTATGGAGATTCGGGAAAGAGCAGCAGTGGTTTGCTGAGGCTGAGGACCGGTTCCCTACCTCACATTTCGTGACCAAAGGTCCAGAGGGTAGGATGCGTCTCACCGACCGGTTCAACGGAGTCCCTCTAAGCACCAACCCAGGAGTGGGGATCTTCTTCGACAAGGCGGGCGAGACCACCCCTATCGTATTCAGTCAGTTCGTCCTCAAGCTCACCTCTATGCCGGAGGTAATTGTGTTCTTCCACCTGCGACCCCTCGAGGCGCCATCGGTCCCCGTGGAAGACAGGTATACTGTTTCACGGCTCGCCATCCCCAACTGCTATCGGCTTGTGGTGCGTTACGGCTACAATGATGAGATCATGACTCCAAATCTAGCCAGTACCATCACGGATCAGGTCCGCAGATATCTTATCGATAGTGGGCATAGCATGGAGCTGGATGGAGTCGCAGTGAGTGGACAACGATCTCCGAGCACAGAAAGTCAAGGAGAAAGCAGATCGGAAGCAGCACAGTCCAGCAGCCTGGTCCGATATAATGACCCGTTGAACAAGCTCGAGCGCGCGTGTGCGCATAACATCCTCTATATCACCGGCAAGGAGCAGATGAGAATCAAGAAAGGCACCAACTTGTTCCGTGGCCTGGTGCTGTGGATCTTCTTGTGGATCAGAGATAACACTCGGGCCAAGATTGCATCTTTGGGTCTCGAGGCGGAACGAGTGATTGAAGTTGGGTTTCTGAAGGATATCTGAGGCTGTGCATAGGGGTGCTTACCAATAGGAAGTGACCCAAGTTGACAAGGGAATATCACGACAGACTGTACAGAGATCACGAATCATAGGCACGAACGACATGAATATACAGTATTGAATCTATGCTTGATGTCTCGGAGTTCGCGAGTAGTATAGTATGTTAGAACCAGTTTTTCTGACAGACTAATCTTTTGGGAGTTTCCCTTGTCGTCACCGTGCATGAGATGGGATAAGATCGTTGATCTTCACGACAGATCCCGATTGGGACAAAGGCGTTGAGCTGAGCCGAGGGGCTTTCAACCAGGCGTCCACGTGACCCTTCGATAGCGTCATCGCGCATGCGTCATGGCTTTTCTGGTGGGGGATAAACAACCGTCTTATCGCAATGGGTGACTTCACTCCGCTTGTAGCCCGATCAGTAGTAGACTTGACAAGTAGGATAACTTAAAGTTGACCAAGTGACACACATGGTGTCAGGCATGGCGCAAGTAGTAAGAAAGGGAAAGAAAACGAAATGCCCCTCCCCCTCTTACTGGTAAAGTGGACTAGTTAGTGGCTGTAACCACCACCACCATCATTACCACCATCACCCCCTTATCAGCCGTGCGGGCAACGGGCAACTCCCCCCCGCAGAGAAAGGGTTGCCTATTCAGAAGAGTATAAAACCTTCTCTCGTCCCACCCCCACGGGCACCGCTTTTCTTTTCCCACAATCCACTTTCCATAAACCACTCCCTCCATCGCAACTTTTCTAGCCATCATTCTCACCAGATTCTCACGGCTCTCTGCCTTTCATCACACCGCAACCAAAATGCCTCTTTACAACGTTCGTTGCGCTCCACTTCCCTCGCTGATCCCCCTCCCCCCGCTTCGGAAACACTAACCATTGTTTCAGGTCACCCTGAAGAAGGACTCTCCCCCCGAGGAGTTGGAGAAGTAAGTGACTTTCAGTGACCTCCTGTATGAACACAGGCTAACATCTTCTTTTCCTGTCAACAGGGCCAAGCAGCAGGCCACCGAGAAGGGCGGTACTATCAAGCACGAATACTCTCTCATCAAGGGCTTCACGTAAGGCAGCCACATTCATCCTCCCGCTACCCAACTACTCCACCCGCACAACCCACACTTCCGAAACAAATCTCGAGAGGGCAGACTAGCTGATTACTGCGTTAGTGTTGAGTACCCCGAGGACAGCGTCCTCTCGCTCGAAGCCAACGAACACGTGCATGTCGAGCAGGACGGCGAGGTGCGCACTCAAGCGTAAACATCCTCCAACTTTCCTCTCACTTGCGGACACAACAGAGAGCCTCGCGGCGGGAAGATTAAAGGATGTGTGTCATGTACGAGTTACGAAATCATTCTAGTTCACTGTAGAGCAAGAGGCTTAGCATCATGAGTGTGAGGCCCGGATCGTCCGCTGTGCGGCGATTCCGAGCTGAGCGCGGTGTTTGTCTTTTGTTTCTTTGCATTTTTTGTCAATGATAACATACATCGATGTCACAATATCTTTTTCTCGCCAGCGTAATGACCATCTCTCCTTACCTTACAAGAACTGTTGTTCAGAATATCTACCCTCCCTGGCCAGTCAGAATACAAGTCACCAAGCCCTCTTCTGCAGCTACCGCTTGATAGTGCCGCATCGATCTGAGTGTACTACAAATACAGCTTATATACTGACATTGACGATCTGCTGTGTATTTGGCAGTACATATTTAATAAAGTAAGTTGCTTCCCACCAGTAGACCCTCGGAGAGTTGTATTCTGGCTGACCAAGGAAAGTAATCTGATGGCATTTCGCTTGCTGTAGCTCATGCAGGTCTGCAAATTGCAAAAGGGAATGGATATCACAATACGCCTCGCCTGCGCAGTACAAAGTCATCGAGGTCTTCAAATGCCTCTTCCTCTTCATCTTTGCTGTCCGAACAGTGCGTGACTGGGTCGAAGACTTCCCAAACGTTGTTTCGGGCGTCGGACTCAACTTGAGTCTTTCTCCTCTGTGTGTGTGTGTTCCCTCGACGGGGGTTGTTGTTGGTAATCCCGAAATTTATCGCTGTCTCCATTTGGTTTATCATGAAGTTGCAGACAATGACGAGATCGCTCTCATCTATTGTGTCGTAAGCCTTGCTACCGTAAAGAACTCGGAAAGATGGAGATGGAAGATAGAGAGGAGGAGAGGAAGGCAGGAAAAGTAAGCAATAACATTGGAAGTCAGATGCAAGTATCTGGGTGAAATAAACAATAGCAACCCTAAATATAAGTTTATGGTGAATCTATATACATCTACTTGATGGAAGGCGAATACATACTAGGTAGTAGCCAATAGCCTCCCAGCCTAAGCAAGGTAAGAGTAGGTTATTTACCTTGATAGCAAAGCGGAAGCCCTAATATAGTACTCTAATAATGTAGTTCAGCAGTGAATAGATCAATACACCCGTCTACATGATATCGGTTAAGCGTACCAGTTTGAAATAGTAGCAATGCAATAATGGTAGAGCCAAGGCAATCGGGGTGCAAATGGAATATGCAATCAGGTGGAAACGCCTGTCAGCAGTACTAAATGCACCGGGTCTCTTGGTGCTATAAGACCTGGATATAACAATCCAATGCGTGGGCTACAGTAATTCATCATTATAGCGACATAGTATTACTTTACTACTACAGGGTATTTATTCAGCCATGCGATCTACCATCAGATAAAACTACGTGACATGCTGTATTCTTACCTGTATTCAAGGCAATCTTGGCATTATCGCCTATCAAGGTGATATGGAAGTCCCTCTATGATAGTCAAGAGATATGGAGAAAGCCATATCTCATGATAATCATACTAAGGGAATGTATCGATAAAGCAAAATCAAACGACAGGGCCTAAGACTATCGACATAGCGAGGAAACCGGCCAAGGGCGATTTATTATGACAAGGTATTACAGTAGCAACTATGATACTCCGCAAGGGGAACTAATCATAATGTTCCAGTCACACTGCATATGTTCTGGTAGTAGCCTGCCGATGAGCCCTGAGATAAGACATTATCGGCTATTTGCGGAAGGAAGACAACTGGCTGAGAACTAGCATACCGCCTTTCGGCAGAATTTGCGGGAATCCCCCCGAGCAAGGACGGCAGTGAGGTCATTTCCGATAAGTTAACCTCCGCGATTTGATGCTGAAGGATGGCTACAAACCGTGATGACATTACCACGGGCTTTGCAGATGCCGTCTGTGGGTGCCAGACCCTCGCGCACACACCTACGCACCCTCCCTAAGACACGCACTTGGTTGTCGTCATCTCTTCGACACGTCTCAACTTCCCAACACCCCTTCGCGTACGGGGCTAACGATGAAGTCGCACGTCTTGCAGCCAGTCGTCGACGGCCACTGACGCTGGCAGACTTGCTCAAGTACGATTACCTCTCGGCTTCTACAAGCCTGGGACTGCCTTGAAGCAACGGGACATACTGACGCTGACGTCTGCTCAGACACGGGAGACCGCCGTTATCCAAAGATGCCCTCCTGGCCTCGGCCAACTTCACCCTGTCCCTGCTCCCAGCACGACTGGCATCACGAATCGAAGCGCTCCGGAACCTCCCCTTCATCGTCGTTTCAAACCCTCATGTCACGCAGATCTACAACAACTACCTCCACTCACTCTCCACTCTCCTCCCCTACCAACAGCGGCAGGTCACCACCGTGGAAGAGTTGACCCAGTTCGCCGATGTCCTGGCCGACCTGGTGCACACGCACACCAACACGATCCCAATTCTCGCCCGCGGGTTCCTCGAATGCCGCCGTTACATCGATTCCACCGATGTCACCCGCTTCCTGGACACCCACCTCCGCGCCCGCATCGGCACCCGCCTCATCGCCGAGCAACACCTCGCCCTTCATTTCGCCTCGCAGCCGATCCGGGACAGCCACCACGAGACCAATGGACAACAAGAACCACAATCATCACCACCAGCCAAGGACGCTGCCGCGGCCCCGTCCAACTACATCGGGGTGATTGACACCGCCCTGCAACCGGCCCGAATTGTCAAGCTCTGCGAGGACTTCGTCGGCGAGATCTGCGAGCTCAAATACGGCGTGCGGCCCCGGCTCGTGATTGGCGGCCAGCCGGACGCCTCGTTCGCGCACGTCCCGGTGCACGTGGAATACATCCTCACCGAGCTGTTGAAAAACGCCTTCCGCGCGACCGTCGAGTCCGGTAACGGCCACGAACCCATCGAAGTCACCATCGCCGCCGCCCCGGACGTCCCCGCCTCCCACCATCACCACCACGATCCCCTCGCCAGAATGAACACGAAAGGCTGGCAGCAACCAACCCAACAACATCTGCAACAGGACCACCCGTACCCTCCTCAATCCGAGGCAGACCTCGGCTTCGAAATGGACAACACCGTCGTCGGCACCGCCGACGCCAACGAATCCATCAAAGCCTGGACCGCGCCGCCGTCCGCGCAGTGCATCACGATCCGCATCCGCGACCGCGGCGGCGGCATCCCCCCCGAAGTGCTGCCGAATATCTGGTCGTACAGCTTCACGACGTTCTCGGAGTACGATGACCACCACGGAGGCTCGGAGAGCAACGAAGGGATGGAGGCGCTGAATACGATCGCGTCCACTAGTGGTGGCGGGGCGAATGGGCATCTAAGCAGTATCGCCGGGCTCGGGTACGGGCTGCCGTTGAGTCGCGCGTATGCGGAGTACTTTGGGGGCAGTATTGCCATCCAGAGTCTCTGGGGCTGGGGCACGGATGTGTATTTGACGTTGCAGGGGGTGGGGAATGTCTCATGATCTGTGGGCTGTCCCTTAGCAAGGCTTTTCTGGATAGAGAGGTCGTGTGCGTGTTCACTCATAACTGCTTTGAGGAGCTTGGTTAGAGGTTATTAGGTAGCAAGCTAGCTAGTTAGGATGATATGGTGCGTTTCGGAGCTAGTTGAGATCACCAGGTGCATGCTGTGTACTGAGTACAGTTCCTCCTTACCTTGAAATCCCGGCGGTAGCTTACTACTAAGACGGAGGAGCAAATACAATACCACCAAATTGGAAAAAAAAGACGAAGACAGCAGACCGGCCCTATCCACCTCGTTGGCTGCTTAGCCGATCTCGTAGTCCAGCCCAACATATTCTTTCACCCCAATTAAGTAGAATCATGCACCCTTCATTCAGGTTGCAGTGTCTCTCTGAGCCATGAATAGGGAGTATCTACACGATCACCACATATCAAGTGTTTATATATGATCCTCTATCATCCGGAGATTCATTGGGAGTTGGGGATTTTGAGATAAAGAGTGCTTGTCTCTTGAAGCGACCTGATACGAAATCTCTCATAGAGTAGTCCTCAACATCCAATCAATATCCCTTGTGGGCAGTACCAGACGCAGCTCCCAGCCTCTAACCCCGCGAGCAATCTCATCAGCCTTGGAAACTAAAGAAAGCGTGGAACAAATATTTGAAATCCCGAAAGGGGCGATTCGTGCAAAGTAACAGCCTTTTGTTCACATTAGCATATACAGATCAAAAGAGTATATACACCAGAAAGAATCCAAAATTAGACAGTGATGTAGATCTTAACAAGATGTCGTAAGTCAGTAGCACGTATAGGGTCAATCAAAATCCTCCAGCACCACGCACACGTTGAACAGCGCCAACTACACCCTTCGCCCAGCTGAAGCGACCAGGATCAATGCCAATGGACCCCTCAGGAATCTCATTGGTGGTGGGGTCATGCCAGCAGCCATCTTCCGAGCTGACTGCACCGTACAGAGCCGTGTTCTGGTTACGGTCAATAGCCGCCCGCCATGCTCGGCAGACGATCGGGGAGTCGAGAAGAAGGTTCACTTCTTGGCTGTGGTAGAAGGACTGTGTGTCGAGGTTGCCGTTTCCTATTTGACGACGTTAGATCACTAACAACAGCATGGTCGCATCACAAAAACGCCTGATTGATGAGACCTACCCTGAATAGCCACCTTCTCATCGATAATCATCAACTTGATATGGCAGCTGCGCCGCTTGAATTTGTTGTGGATGGGCTTGGTTTGATCTTTGGCGACGTAATTGTAGATTCGAAGTCGGGAGCGTAGTTCATCGGTTTCCAGCGATTTGTACATCCGGTGCGCGATCATTTCATTTGTACCATTCTGGAACGGAAGTAGCTCCCCAGCATCATTGTAACCCAGACACAAATATGCAGTGACCGTCACGCCGCGAGTCTTGATAGCCTCCAACAGAGCTTGAACGATGGGTTCGGCGTTCATATTCGGAGTTTGAATGAAGATTGATTCTTGAGCATTGTGTATGGCGGCGAGAAAACTGCTGTTCTGAGGTGTATGGACGCTCGTGTGGTTCGGTGCTAGTATCGCTTCGTTAGTGACCAATTTCCTGCTAATAGCGCGCGATTAGCCTTACCTCCCCAAGGTTCTCGGTTGACTAAAGCCATTGGGAAAGGATCATGGGGCGGAAGAACAATATAAGGCTGCATCTGGAGCTCTTGATCGCGTTCGGACGCGTCACCCGTCGTATTCGGCTGGATCGTTGTATCTTGGTCGCGGTCAGTAATCTGCAATGAGGGTTGCGAGGGTTAACATACTCAAACGACGAGTGACAGCTTCAAGTTTGTTTTCACCGTCTCGAGGCTCAAGCAACCCATTCATTCTCTCTGCTTCGTGTTTTAGATTCGTATCATAGTGAGACTCCTGCACGGTGAGTTCAGGAAGTGGACCGGGTGCGGGTGCTGCATGGTCCAGCTCCACAGTCGACTGGCAGGGGATCGCAGCACCCGTGGCTGGCGAGGCGAGCATTGGCAGAGTGGGCTCCAAGGGGCGACCCCAAGAGATCAATGCCGTGTCGTAAAGACCATCGACGATGGGCCCCTCGACATGAATCATCATTTCCAGGTTATCATTGTCCTGGACGTTGCTGCTCTGTAGCAGCGCGATTCGACGATCAACGACCATAAATTTGGCATGGAATGTGCCAAACACTGGTCGGTGGTAATTAATGACCTGCAGGTCTATATTAGGGATCTCCTCAGACGAAGGGAGCTTCACCTTCCCGCCGCTGTACTTCTTCTCAGGTACGGGCAAATGATTCTCGAACAGCTGCTGCGGGTCACCCCGATCGTACACCATCTTCACAATCACCTTTTCGCCCCGTTCGCCTGCCCTTTTGGAGAGCTCACGAAATGCATTGGTAATGAGCGTGGACGCATCGGAGTGGATCCAGAAGTTAGTTGCCAGGAAGACCTCCTTGTCCGCACGCACGATGCAGTTCGCCATGTGCCGACACAAATCTGGTAAGGGAGCGATAATGGTCAAGGGTACGACACCATGACTTCCCATTAATGGCGGAGAGACGACGCCTGCCATCGGGTTCTTATCTATTGCACAGAGAGCATCGTGGTAGATCTTGCATCACAGTAGTCAGTATTCATCCCCAGCAAAGCTTATCGAGCTGACTGACCTGAAGGAAAAGCTTGCTTGGCTGGGAATTACCCCAGTTCCCGCACTCTGCCGCCTCTTGCAATTCATCTTTGTCGGTTAACAACTCCTTCGAGTCGGAATGGATTTTGGATTTGTGATCGTTGTAGAGGCGGTGAAAGACTTTTGGAGGTGACTGGGAGGGATCGCGTAACAGCTCGGATGTGACGGTCTGATCTTCATGGCAGAGCCTGTAAACACTGTCCGGTAGCATGGTGGTGCGAAACTGATTGGGACTTGTGGGCTGACGGAAAAACCAGATAACGGCGGTACTCAGACATATGGAGAAGAGGGCCCCGGATAGCTTAATATAGAGCAGTAAAGTGGATGAGGCACCGTCGTCCGGTCGCAGAAAGGCCGCCATAAATAATCACCGGCGCACCGGCAAGCTGTGACGTAAAAGTAGGAGTGCTAGTATTGTGATGCCTACGCGGCATGTCAGCAACTAATGTATGTGACCGAACCAAAACCTCTTTACCTAGGCAGTGTTCTAGCGCGATGATTCGCACGCTATCTTGGATAATCAACAGTGATAATATTTTTCTTAAGTCCATGGGAGATGCGCACACAAATTGCAGGGTTGATTTCACTGTCGCACATGGAAATGACGAAAAATGGAGCAGTATTGTCTTGCTGGGCTGAGCCACCACGTCATCGGCCCCAGTGCCAGATGGATCCATTCCACTTGTAAGCGGCTTGGCTTTGGAAACAAGCTCCAAGAAAGGGCGGGAACCCGGCAAACAACTTGCATAGGGCTGATTTGCGTCTGATGTAAGAAAGAGTCGAGGTTCTCGGAGAATATTGGTGCAGGTTAGTGCAGGTGCAGTGTAATTATCGTCGATGTAGTTGAGTGCAGTAGTTATAGTATGGTAGTATGGTGCAGCGGGGAAAGAAGTGGTACGGCAGAATGCTTCCTCCTTCCCTCCTCGCTTAGAAGATTCACTGCTTCTACCAAGTGGCTTACTCATACCTCAGAAAGTCAATTCCATCATTTCCCCATTTTCCCCTCACAATCCACCGGCCATCGTCACATCTTAACCTCGGGCTTAAGCTCCACTGCTCGGACTTCAACCCGAGCCCTTACTTTATCAATCAGTCAAAATGCGTTCTTCTCTGCAAGATCCCCCTCATCTCCCACTTCCCCCGCTTGTTCTTATCCATATCAAATTCTAAACCTCTGATCTTGATTGAAGCCATCACCATGTAGGTGCAGTCCATGATTGATCATCCAGGCGGGAAATCACTGACGAATATCCGGCGGCAGGGTCTACACTGCATCTTTTGCCTTCTTCGAGGCTCTGTGGGAGGTATGCTAACTCAGACCCCGATGAACACATGTCTCGCAGCATGAGCTGACTTGACAGGCTGGCGTCACTCATGTCTTCGTGAATCTGGGTTCTGATCATCCCTCAATCCTGGAAGCCATGGTAAAAGGCCAGAAGGAGAAGCCCAAGGAATTCCCTAAGATTGTAACATGTCCCAATGAGGTGAGTTGCTTCCTTATCGCCAGGTTATTGGCTTCAAGCGCCTCCGCACTAACCCCGCAATCCTCCGTTCTTGGCAGATGGTGGCTCTCTCCATGGCCGATGGATATGCGCGTCTTACTGGCAAGCCTCAATGTGTGATCGTTCACGTCGATGTGGGCACGCAGGGTCTTGCTGCAGCCATTCACAACGCTTCCTGTGGTCGTGCTCCGGTTCTGATCTTTGCCGGCCTATCTCCTTATACAATTGAGGGTGAGATGCGAGGTTCTCGTACCGAATATATCCACTGGATCCAAGATGTTCCGGACCAGAAGCAGATCGTCTCTCAGTACTGTCGTTATGCTGGAGAAATTCGGTCGGGTAAGAACATCAAGCAGATGGTGAACCGGGCTTTACAATTCGCCACAAGCGACCCTCAGGGTCCTGTCTACCTGGCCGGTGCTCGGGAAGTCATGGAGGAAGAAATTATCCCGTACTCTATCAACCAAAGCCAGTGGGTACGGGTTGCTCCACCAGCACTACCTTCAGAAGGAGTGGAGTTGATTGCAACTGAGCTTGCGGCTGCCAAAGAGCCATTGGCGATCGTAGGATACTCGGGCCGCAACCCCCAGGCAGTGAAGGAGTTGGTCACTCTAGCCGACAAATTCAAGGGCCTTCGCGTTCTGGATACTGGAGGCTGCGACATGTGCTTCCCAGGTGACCATCCGGCGTCTTTAGGAATGCGGTTTGGGATTCATGATGCGATAAAAACGGCAGATTTCATTCTCGTCGCCGACTGTGACGTACCATGGATCCCAACCATTTGCAAGCCTTCCGACACCGCCAAAATTGTCCACGTAGACGTGGACCCTCTCAAGCAGCAGATACCTGTGCACTACATCAACTCGAGCGCAACATACCGGGCGGAATCTGCGACCGCATTCAAGCAGATCAACGATTATATTGCGTCCAATTATCAGCTACAGCAATCTATCAACACAGCAGAGAACCAGGCGCGGGGCGAACGCCGCGAACAAGAATTCAGAAAGACGCGCAAGGCAATCGCCGATATGGCCGTGGTCCCAGCAGGCGGGGACCGTGCGCCATTGAACGCGTCGTATCTCATCTCCCAGCTCCGGGGAGGCTGTCCTGCTGACACCATCTGGGCGATCGAGTCTGTGACGCTGACTGGTATCGTCTCCGATCAAATCGCGGCAACTATTCCGAAGTCATGGATCAACTGCGGCGGCGGTGGTCTGGGTTGGTCTGGTGGCGGTGCTTTGGGCATCAAGCTCGCGACCGATCTCGAGCACGGAGGCAATAACAAGGGCAAGTTTGTCTGTCAGATCGTGGGCGACGGCACATACCTCTTCTCGGTGCCTGGCTCCGTGTACTGGGTGGCGCGCCGATACAACATCCCCATCCTAACGATTGTCTTGAACAACAAGGGCTGGAATGCCCCGCGGAGGAGTATGCTGTTGGTACACCCCAACGGCGACGGCTCCCGGGCCACCAACGAGGACCTCAACATCTCCTTCGCGCCCACTCCGGACTACCCTGGGATCGCGAAAGCGGCCTCAGGAGGTGAGTTCTGGGCGGCTCAGGCGTCCACGGTTGCGGAGCTCCGCCGCTTGCTGCCTGAGGCCATCAAGAGTGTACAGAATGGCACCACGGCTGTGTTGGAAGCGCAGCTGGATGGGACGGAGGGCAAGTACGTTGCGAAGCCAAGACTTTAAGCTCCTGGATTTTTAATCGTACGTTAGCAAGGAGGTCAAACATGGAGTCTCTACATTAAAGCAAAGAAAAACGATGAATCAAGATATTTTAGACATCGTCAGATTGCGCCTGTCGTGCTTAGTTCCGCAAAACAGCCGGATATTTCTAATGCTTCTGACTTTGACCAGGTATTTAAAGGTATCGCCTTGAGAGGATCAGACGCGCGCTAGAGCGATGACTACCAATTCGATATTCCCCTGTTATTTGCGAAAGCTTAACCCCTAACTTCCAAGAAGTAGATGTCAACTTCGCTTGTGCTACCCTAACATCTGCTACGAGTGTACGACTGGTGATATTCCCACATGGTTCAAGCAAGCAATCAAACAATGCATTACTCCTACTAGATGAGTAACCTAAGTAAGGAGTGTTCACAGTCTCAGCAAACCCGCCCCCACCCCTGTTTCAGCGCATGTTCCGCGCGCATTTTCAGCCTAAGATCAACCAACGAAACAATGAAGACACACGAAGAAAAGAAGCCAAGACCCAGAAGGAAGAATCCAGCAAAGCAACGACACAGACCAAATCAGTTGATGATCCATAACACAAGTTCAGACGGGAGCGTCGGAGTCCTTGAACTTGGAGAGCTTGAGAACGTTCTTGGCGTTGTCCCTGCCGACACGCAGGTAGCCATCGCGGCCGCCGAGGATCTTCTTGAGCTCGTCGGAGTTGTTGTCGAACCAGCCGCAGCCATTCTCCAGCCGCTCGTAGGGGTAGTCGACGCTGAACATGATGCGGTCGACGCCGATCTCCTCGGCCACGAAGCGCAGGGTGTTGGTGCTGAAGTGGCCGCTGGTGGTGACGTAGATGTTGTTCTTGAAGTAGTGCAGGACGTCGCGCTCGCACATGGTGTCGCCGTTCTTCTTGGCGAGGGGCCGCTCGACGTCGTTGATCCAGTGGTTGGCGCGCCAGAAGTCGAAGGGGATGCGCTCGCCGAGGTGGCCGAGGATCAGCTTGAGGTTGGGGAAGCGGTCGAAGACGCCGTTGGTGATGAGACCCATGACGTGGCGGCCGACGGCGTTGCAGAAGCTCTGCGGCGGGCCGACCAGGTACTTGCGGTTCTCGTAGTGCTCCTTGTAGTTGTCACCGGTGGGCGCGGCCGGGTGCAGGTAGATGGGCACGTCGAGCTCGACGGCCACGCGCCAGAACTCGTCATACTCGGGCTGGTCGTAGTACAGGCAGCGGCCGCGCTGGTTGGTGTGCTGCACGTCGTTCAGCAGGGCGCCGTGGAAGCCCAGCTCCTTGACGCAGCGCCGCAGCTCCTTGCCCGCCTGCGCCGGGTCGTGCATCGACAGCGCCGCGAACGCGCCCAGCCGGTCGCGGTGGTCCTTGATCTTGTCCGCGATGTAGTTGTTGACCTCGCGCGCGTGCGACTCCGCCTTCTCCCGCTCCCGGATCCCCTGGATCCCCGGCACCGTCAGCGACAGCACCGTGTACCCAATCCCGTTGTCCTCCGAGATCTTCAGCCGCTCGCCCGTGATCGACTTGATCTGCCGCAGGTACCGCTCCAGGTCGTCCGGCGCCACGTAGATCGCCGCCTGGTCGCGGCTCTGATCCGCCTCGGAGGGGATCTCGAAGGCTTCCTCGATGGTGACCTTTCCGCGCATTTTGGTGGGAGGCTTGGAGGACTTGCGGAGGAGATTGATGAAGGACAGAATGCTGGTGTTTTCCGTTGTGGGAATATTGAACAAAGTTGGAAACGTCGATGTGTTCGGGAGACACTGATGTCTTGAGTTTCTCGAGTCTATGCATGCTTCAAGGGTCATTATATAGATCGATTTGGGGATTTAACCATGGTAGACTTGACATGATGGCCCATGACGAAAAAGGCCGGCCCTCAATTCCATTCTCCAGCATTGCGGCTCGAAGAGCTCGGAGTTGAGCTTCTGGCTTGGAAGGAGAGGGGTCTGATGGTTCCAGATTCAATGTCGACTTTCGGTCGAGTCTTCCCAGGCCTTTCATCTTGCGGGGTCGAACTTTAGTGCATTTCTGAGAAGATGGATGGGCATTGAGGCGAAGAATGCATGTGATGGTGAGCGCGATGTGATGCTTGTCTTATGCTGGGTTGACTGATGTGGCTTTCGAGAGAGGGTAAGTCCTGTCCTGAGGGGGTAGAAGGAGGGGAAGTTGCCATGGATGTTATGCGGAGTTGGGGCTGCACTCCGCACGCTCCGCACGCAACATTGTCTCACAGACCGCGTCCCCGGTCTTGTTAATGCTTTGCGCATCATCTATCATGAAATATCCTCCCGATTGGTATCATTTCAGAATGCTCAAAGCGCACCTTTCGAGTATATGTTCTCAATCAATATCAGAGTATTGTGCTTGGTCAGCCTTACCTCTACTAGAATCAGGACATTAATTAGGACTTTCTAGAGAATAGATATAATTAAAACATAACACTGTATATAGCCATGGCTTCAGATGCCCTAGCTAATGATCGTATTGACATTCTGATATATTTGTTGTACTATAACCGACTCCCAGCTCGATGCTAATTTGTTGATGTTCTGGTCTGGATACTGAAGGTGATAAAAGGCTCTCCAGCTAAAGAGTAAGGCTGCAGGTTTGAATCAATATGAAATCGAGTAGTTGCTCGAAACGCGGTGCTTTGCCTTGTATAGAAAGAGCTGCTTATTGAGGTGCTTGATGAGGGTCTCAAAGACCCGAGGGTACAGGGCGCGTTGCTCGTTATGCAAATTAGGTATCTATAGTATTTTCTTCTGCCACTTCCCATCCCAGTACACCACGACCACCAGTTGTCATAATTCCTTCAAGTCATGCATTCTCCCTCTGCCTCTAACCTTATAGAGGTCCGCAAGCCGCAGATAGTCCGCTGGATCCTCATAAAATGTCGCCAGGCCCGATCGCTCCAATATCGCGCATTGCTCATACATGCATACACGAAGTTTTCTATGACAAACAAGATCATATTGTCATATTTGCGCAACATGGCTACTGTGCATTGAAGGTTCTCGGTTATAGTTCCTCATTTGACTCATTTGGCAGCAATATGATACCATGGGCACGGCACTGCACTGAACCATGGCTGATCGGATCTCCGATAAGCCTCGCTCCGATGCCGGCGATAGCCTTATCTAGGCGTGGGGCTGTCATACCGCCGATATGCACCATCACCACTTCTCAAATTCCCCCTCCAATTGTCGTCACGCTCTACCCTTGGGAGATCCCTGCTGGGAGATCCAGATTCGCAGGGTCCTGTTGAAGGGATCGCACATGATGCAATGATTCGTGTTTACCCCAGGTTTCTGCAGATGCGGGGAAAAGCATCAAATCCGTCACTATCGGAAATAACTCGATCATCGCAGCATGGTATTTGGATTACATACAGTACATACAACAGTACCCCGCCACGCCTTACTGATGACAGCATTCGCAATTCGACAGAATGATTTTACCATGCCTCCCAGAGTCAATGCAATTGATCCACTTGCTCCTCAGATATCACACTCACTCGCCAATCACAATTGCCAGGGGAAGCTGCTGTATCTATCCAGGTAGTCCTGCAGCGCAGATTGCTATCGTGGACAAATCGCCGTTGCAGTGCGCGACGCTTGCCGGCGGAACCGGTCCGCCCGAGCTTTTCTAAAGCGGAGCAAAAAGCGGACGGGCAGTCGTCGGAGTGTGACTCGATTTCCTTCCCTTCCCTTTATTCTCTCTTCTTTCCCACTCATCTTCCGGTGTTGCAACATCTCTTTCCCGTCACTCTATTCTTTCTGCACTTTTCTGACACAAAGTGCGAAACTTACAACAGTACAAATCAGTTACAGCCTATCCTTTCCAGCTACTAATTCGACCATGAGCCCCGCGGCCGTTGACTCGAGCTCGGCTTCCGCTGCCGGACCATTGACAGTCGACGCCATCCCGGCACTCAGAGCGAAGAGCGCAAAGATTCCCTTGGGTGTTGCGCCTGCGACCCATAGCGACCTCTTCAAGAGCGCAGTACGTCTGTTTCTTGGGTTATGCCGATGGCGCACGAAACTAACCTCTTATCAGCACTGCTACACCAAGCCACAGGCCAAACGCTGGGATGGTTAGTACCAGCCACTATGTTCCTAGGACTTAATCCTGATTTGTTCCCAGATATTTTCTCCATCGAGGCAAAGGCTCGGAAGGTTCGTCCGTCAAACCCCATGGCCTGGTTGCTCACTTCGAAAGCTAATATGTACTCGTTGAATGTCTCTAGACCTCAACATTGAAGGGTGCGGCGCAGTATCTCAAGAATCCAGGCCTGATCTCCCTTGGCGGCGGGCTCCCCTCTCCGGAATATTTCCCCTTCGATGAACTCTCCGTGAAGGTTCCGACCCCTCCTGGCTTCTCTCCCGAAGAACGTAGCAAATCCGGCGCCCTTTTGACTGCAAAGAAGGGAGACACGCGTGACGGAACAAGTTTATACGGTGAGTATTAAACGACCATCTCCCTCTCGAGAAGCTTATTCAACGGCTGAGACTGTTTTCAACAGACTTGGAAGTTGCGCTTAACTACGGCCAGGCCACGGGATCCCCGCAATTGCTGCGGTTTGTCACGGAACACACAGAGGTATGTCGCTGACAGGCCAACCACACAGCAAGAAGCTTGGTTAACGACTGATTCTTGGCGACTAGCTTATTCACAACCCCCCCTACTCCGATTGGCAATGCTGTCTGACGCCTGGCGGTACCTTCGCCTGGGATGCTATTCTCCGCATTCTGTGCAACAGAGGTGACTACATCATGATGGAAGAATACACTTTCTCCAGTGCCAAGGAAACTGCGCTTCCTCTCGGCCTCAAGGTAGTCGGGATCAAGATGGACGAACAGGGTCTTCTACCCGAGGCACTTGACGAGACTCTCAGCAACTGGGATGAGGCGACTCGCGGTGGCCGCAAGCCTCGCGTACTCTATACTATCCCAACGGGACAAAACCCCACAGGTGCAACCCAGTGGGCTGACCGACGCAAGGCTGTGTACGAGGTCGCTCAGAAGCATGACATCTTCATTGTGGAAGACGAGCCATACTACTTCCTGCAGATGCAGCCTTACACCGGCGCCGACGGCACGCCCGCACCGCCCCCGGCCAATCACGCTGAGTTCATCAAGTCGCTTGTCCCTTCATATCTGAGCTTGGATACGGATGGCCGCGTTTGCCGGATTGAATCCTTCTCCAAGGTCCTTACTCCTGGCTCGCGTGCCGGATGGCTGGTTGCCCCGGAGCAGTTCATCGAGCGCTACATTCGTCACAGTGAGACTACTGCCCAGAACCCGAGCGGTATCTCGCAGATTCTCCTCTTCAAGCTTTTGGACGAGCATTGGGGCCATGCTGGGTACCTTGACTGGCTGATCAACCTTCGTATGCAATATACCGGTCGCAGGGATGCCTTGGTAGTTGCTTGTGAGAAGCACCTCCCACAGGAAATTGCTAGCTGGGTCGCACCCGCAGCGGGCATGTTTGTAAGTTCTCAGATATCCTACGAGTGGATTTCAAACTGACTTGTATTCTAGCACTGGATTGGCATTGATTGGCAAAAGCATCCCGGCCTTGCGGCAGGCAAGACCCGTAACCAGATCGAAGAAGAGATCTTCCTCGCTGCTGTCGACAACGAGGTCCTTGTCTCCAGGGGTAGCTGGTTCACGGCCACTGAAGTTGGCGGGGGTAAGA